CCCCCCCCTCCCTCCCGTAGCCCCTTCCCCTTCGCTCTCTGTCTTCCTTTGCGTCTCTCGCATCGCTTTCACTCGAACCAGAACACCACCGCACCTTGCTCAACGAACCAGCGCACACACACGCTTTTCTCTCTCTTTTTGTCTGTCTCTGTCTCTCTCTCTCTCTCTCTCTTGCGGGCACGCGCAAGCGAACGCGCCGCGGCCCCGCGGGGCGAACAAAACGTGCTTTGTAGAAAGAACGGGATTTTACCCCCTACCTCGGGCCACCACTCTATCCCCTTTCCCCGAATTTATGCGAGGCAAGTCCCGCTCCCCCCCGAGCCTCAAGACCAGTGCCCCCTCTCCCCTGGGGCCAGCAATTACACGGCGGGACAACGGCATGACAGTGACGCCGTGCTGATGGTAATGAACACGTTTGTATCTCCTTTCCTCGTCCTCTACTCTGCCAGCTCCGCCCAGCCACGCCACCACGTCCCACGACCGCCCACCGCCACGCCCCGCCGCACCACTAAGCGCACCCCCTGCTAGAGTAAAATCCCAAATGACACTCGAAAAGCAATTTAAGAGGGAACCACGCCGGGCGCACGACCCAGGACCCAACTCCTCCCCGCAGTGTCTCTTTTGGTTTATTCGTCTCCACCAAGAAAAGGGATGACAGAGCAACGGAGAGATTCGAGAGAAGACCGTAATTTACACCCTGAAGGTGACATCTACAAGAGCCCACAGTACCTAGTACTTAAATATCCATTTCCTCCCAGTCCCTTGCTGGGTTTTATTTTACCCACTAAACTTTGCATACCGTGCGGTCGATTTGCCAAACGCTTTGCATTAATGAAAGATAACATATTTCAAACCGCCGATTTTTTTGTTACCTTCAATAACGGCCCAAATGCGATTCCTACGTTTAATCACACCCACATTAACATATGTCACCTGAATAAATTGTAACACCGTGCAACACTGTAGCTCGCGGATAATTTTTACCATGGTCATCGGTTGAAACGTAATATCACTGCAAAAAACGGTGAAATGTCTTTTACCAT